AAAAACAACTTTAAATAGACCAAACTACCCACAGCAGACCTCAGAGTCCTGGTGCACTCACATTAAAACACAGTCAATATATTTAAGTTAATAGCATGAGTTCTTACTTGAAACTTATTCAGCTGATAAATTAAAAAGTTGTTTCAAATATTGACAAGCTGTTTATGACCTGATCAACATATTATACCATTAAAGATTTAAAAACAAAAGACTAAAAGTCTGATTTTCAACTTTCAATGCACCAAACTGCAGTTGTCAAAACTACACACAGTTTAATCATCACAAAGCCCATAACTGTGTTTTTTGGGTTTGTTTCTGGCCTAATTCATGTGAGCACACAGCAGACAAATATTAAACCATTGTTCATTTTCTTATTTACTGTCACAGAGGTGGATGTTCATATTAAACATGGGCAAAGGTTAAAATAACGAGGTCAGTGTTGTGCTGTGACTTTTACTGAAATGCAAGCTGAGAAAATGAACGGCAGATTGTCCAGCATGATGGTTTCCCATTACTGTTACAGACCACACAGGTTTATCCACAAAGGACAGAAGCAAACAGTAAGAAAAGCTGCTGGGCTCTCAGCTTGACAAACTTAAACTATTTTTACAATGACAGGGACAAGCCTGTGAAATGAAGAGGTGCTTCAGATTCCACTTGAAGCAAAGTTAAACCCGCTTCCAGAGACAACAGGCAACTGTGGCCACAAGATGGCAGTATTTTAAAGGATGTTGCAAACAGGCAATGAGAGATGCAAAGAGGGAGATCAGTTTCACTTCACTGTGCAAGCAGTGCTTTCCTTGCTTGCCCTGCTGGAACAGCACTCGCATTCCTCTAACCCCATTCATCTACTGTTTTAACCTTCTGTTTGTCAGGGGTAGCCAATCAGAAGAAACTTAGATTAGTTGGTTTAAAGATTTCAAGAATAAAAAGTATAAAACTTAAAATTTCTCCTTGAAGTGAGCAGAACATTTTTCCACTGTCAATATTTATACAGAAAACACAGTCAGCAGCTTAAGTGTGCTGGAAAGGTGAAAACAAATTTCTGTGGTTAAAGTTTCCTCTAAGTGCCTCAACTGTTTTCTGTTTGTAAATCCTTTCTACACGCCAGAGATTTTTTGTCAGATAAACTGATAACGTTAAGTAACTAGTGCAGTAGTACTTATATAATTCTTTTCTACTCTAACCCCAGTCATGCAGGGGAACAGGCAGGGCTTGTTTTTGACACCATAACAATTACATAACATTCACTGCATCAGGTGAGCCCAAGTCAACACCTTAATGTGAACAAACTAACAACCAGCAGAGCCAATCCATAACACAAAACCCTGTGTTAATCTGCAAATCTTTACACACATGCTCAGACTTTCACAGCACGTCTCAGTGTGTACATTGCTTTAATACCAGTTATCAGATTGCTGCTGAGAATGACTTTCTCGTGGATACCAACAGCTGAACAAAGTGCAAAGCCAAAGTTAATAAAAACAAACCTATCAGCTCTGACTAAGCATGTGGGCACACGTTTAGACAACCTGAAACCAGCTGCTTAATATCCAATAAGTGGCAATGAAGCCAGAATGCAGACTATACGGTACCACAGACTCAAGTGACCTCACTTGAGTCTCATTTCATAACATTAAAACAAGAATGCAGCAATTAACAAAACAAAACAAAAAACCTACTTTGTGACAGTGGGAAGGAAAAACTTCCTTTTAACAGGAAGAAACCTCTGTCAGAACCAGGCTGACCAGAACCAGGCTGGGCTGAGGGGAGGGGAGGGGGACAGGACAAAAGACGCACTGTGGAAAAGAGCCAGAGATTAATAATAATCCAATAATCCGTACGGCTCATTCCATGTAAAATTAACTTAACTTGGAAGACGGGGGGTCCAACTCCTAAAAGTAACCAATGAGTGTAGATTTATGTAGTAATTAAAAGTTGGTGGTTCCCAAGAGTGTTTGGGATGTCTCCAGTCAGATTAAGTAAAACCTAAATGTAACCATTTTATAATCATACCTTTATGTCAAACTCTTTAAGGTTTTAAATATGCCAACTGAAATGTGGGATTCTTTTCAGAGGCTTACTGGATAATATTAATGAGCATATTTATTTTTTTGATACATTTCTAATTCTAACTTGATGAGCTCTCATCCTGGAGGAGCAAATTCATTTGCTCTGCAGCCTGTGTGGACGACAAGTATGCTCGAGTGTGCGCTCACTCTGGGACTGTAAAGATGTCACACGCTCATTAACCTTGAAGTGTTAAAAGGAAATTAACATCTCTCACACATAAATCTGGAAGCTGCACAGTGTATAAACTAGCAGGAGTCTACTGATGGAGAATCGGCCACACACAGTCAGAATGAATGCTCGGCTGATCAGGTGAAAGGCTGGGAGTTTCGTGTGGTTAAAAAAAGATTAGATGTAGGCTTGCAGCGCTGATGCAACTTTAATCTAAAGGTGTTCTTCTATCCTTGCTGACGGTTTCATCATCGCCGTTTCATCAGGACTTCAGAGAGCAGAGGGAGACACGAGTAACACGGCAACTAAATTACATCAGCATGTAACGAGGGAGCCTAAACACAACGCTGTAAGGCAACTGTGCCCCTAACTGTAGGGTTGTTTCTACTGATTAACAGAAAAAGTTACTGATAAACAACAAAAAGTTCAACCAAACTAAATTAAGCCTGACAAAGCCGGGCTAAGAGTGAGTTTGGTCGTTTTGGAAGGACCAAAATAGACAAACCCGCACCAGAATTGTGTAATGATTAGTAAATTTCTTGTATTTCACGTCATGCAATTTGTGCGAAACACTGTCACCTCACAGCTAGAAGGTTCTAGGTTTGAATCCACTGGCAGCCGGAGCCTTCCTGTGTTGAGTCTGCACGTTCTTCCTGTGTTTGGGTAGGTTCAGCTTCCTCCTACAGTCCAAAAAACATGCATGTGGCCATGGAGGAGTCGTAGATAAAGTGCTTGAAGTCTATACAATATGTATGTATGCAAGTATGTATGCGTAGCTGGGGTTTGTAGTCTAAATGAGCTCTTAAAGGCCTTTTTAAAACTACAAGCCACATTTACCCTCCTCCCCACACATGCAATGTTTCATTCTATGCCTTTAGGTTTATCAGGGTTTCTGGTTCAGTCACCTGCAGACTGGAGAAGCCAGTGGTAGCTGGTCTGCTCGAGTTCTTGCCTGCTTAGATTTTGCATCCCTTTCAGAATTTTCATTTCAAATAAAAGACAAAATAAAAAGTTAAATTACAGGTTGCTCCTATCATGTTATCTCCTGCGGATGAGATGATATGATGGATCTTGGACAGTTAAAACATGTCTGTTTTTATTTTCATGTTTGCTGCTGAGCTTTTCTCCACCCAGCAAACGCCTCACCTGTGAAACCGAGAGAACAAACATCGCAAACATGTCACTGTGTAAGCCCACACAGGTCTCTGTTGCCAAAACACACTCATCCAGCCTTCGTGACTTAAAACTACAAACAGGTGCCCACTACGCTTTGACATCAGCTACGGTTCTGCTGGAAACGATTACGATGACCTTTGGATTGGCCCTAATCCCACATTAACCTCAGCCAAGAGTCACAACTCATGAATGAAGCCACCACATCACTGAGCGTGTGTAAATATTCAACACAGAGTGGACTGAAGGTTGAGCCTTGTGCAAAGCCAGAGCCAACAGTGATGGAACAAACTAGAATTACAGCTGTTACCCAACACCTACTTTCAGTCTTTGATAAAACTTGTCAGCTATGTTGTTTTCTAATCTCAGGATTCTGGCTCACTGAGGCCATAACTACAAGGCGTTTTCACTGCCCATTATGTGCATTCAGCATTTTGTGAACCTGATCTGAAAGCTGCCCATGATCAGCAGGGAGGTGGAACACACAAGTTAATGTGTCACCGATCAAACCAGGCGCCAATTGCAGCTGTGACCTCTGACTAGGGCTGAGTGGTCTGACCAAAAACTTGCATCACAGACTTTTTAACGACTCGTGTGGTTTCACAGTACGCACTTATCTTGGTCTGTTAAATCAGACATGAAACACTGAGAACTGATAATAATCCAGCTATGAAAGTGCTCATCAGCTGAGAGTCTGCGCTTCAATCCCAGACTGATTAATTTGAAATCCACTGTGGTGGTGTACATCTGCTGATCTGCTGATTCCAGAAACTTTATTCCCTTAAAAGACATGGGATCACTCTTTAAGGCATTAAAAAGGCGGCTTAGTTCACGGGTTAAAGTTCAGCTACATGCTGAAGACAAACACCCTTCACAGAGTTATCTAATAGTCTCTTATGCCGTTCACAACCGACTGATTACCGGAGCGTCGAGGGGCGTGATTCCGCCGTTAGAAACAACCCAAAAGGAGGCCTAACAGGCGGCCAAACAAACCACACTAAGTCCTTGTTTGCGAAACAAATGAAACCAGCACGTACCAGAACAGGTGTCCGCACAGACTGATGACGGCGTCCCTGGCAGTGTCCAAGCAAATGTTGCACTCGAAGGTGGCTCGATCCCGCTCCCGTTCGCTCTCCCCGCTGCCGCCACCCGAACCGTCGCGGTCGTTGCTGCTCTCCCCGGCCGGGAACCCTCCTCTGCTGGCCGGGCCGCCGTCACTCGAGAATCGGTGATCCGCGGCCGCCATAGTGTTTATTTTCCAAACGAAGAAAGAAACGAAGCGAGCCAACCCGCGGCGGCCAGACCCGAGCTAACGTTAGCTGTCAGTGGTAGCGGTTGCTGCTGTCACCGACCGAGCGAGGCTGCTGTCTCTACCCGAGAGACGACTTCCGTTTCCGGGAGAAACAGGACGCATGGGGTGGGCCTAATTTAAACACCACCGCCACAATAATAATAATAATAATAATAATAATAATAATAGTAGTAAGAAGAAGATGAATTACTGACACGTACACCTTCGTCTCTAGCCAATCCTCATTTCGTTTGTGGTAGGAATATAGAAGCGATTTATTGAAACATGACAAAAACAAACAAACAAAAAGAATCGCTTAATAGCTCTTTGGGAAACACAACATTCTGGCAAAAATGCCATTTTATTTCCGTCAAACTCTTATTTTTGGCATTTTTTATAGACTCAGCTAAGGAAATTGTAATAAACTTTGTTGGGCTGTGAATAGCAACGTTATATGTAGACACAACACTGGTTCATCCTTTTTTATCCTTGAATGATTCATAGCTCAGTGTTAAGTGGCTTAACTCACAGAAAACGTTCCTCTGAAAATAGTCAGGTAAGGACTGAAATAAATAAAATAAAATAAACAGCTGCTTACACCACTTTAAAAATCACAAGAAAGTCTGGCTCCATAGAAGTAAAATATAAAGATATGAGTAGTGACTCGAGACTGTTGCACAGCATAAAAAATGTAAACTCTAACGCCACAACAACAAAAACATTATTTATTCACTTTTACTGTTTAATGAACTTCATGAAAATAGGAAGAATATTTGCTGCTCAGAGAAAAATAATTAATAGCGACAGGCTGGAGGTCTTCTATAATTTAACCCAAATGTTTTACACTAACAACATACAAGAAAGAATGAAAGAAAGCGGGAACTTTAGTCCTACATGTTGTTTCCACTCGGACAGTTGAGGAGCACCGACCGTAAGCGTGTTGTGTACTGCGCACATGCCGTGTTTGATAATTCTAACGTTATAACGTTAACAGTATTTTCACGGTTAACGCGCGTCACTGACGGTTGTTTGTGTTTTAATACGCGCTCTATCGTCACTGGCCCGCCGCCATGAAGATTAAGCGGCAGAAACAAGCCAAGAAGACGATCAGTTTCTACAAATACAACTTCGGCTTCAGGGAACCCTTCCAAATCCTCATCGATGGAACTTTCTGTCAAGCGGCCTTGAAGAACAAGATTCAGATCAAAGAGCAGATGCCCAAATACCTAATGGGAGAGGTGCAGTTGTGCACCACCAGGTGAGTGCATTCACCTCTGAGCACCCCCCTCCTCCCCACCCACTACCCCCGGTCACTTTTTGGCACAACACTGTCATCATACACCTTTTAATAATATGTCCACGTGTTCACGTTCAGCTGTGCGCTGAAGGAGCTAGAGACGCTTGGAAAACAGCTGTACGGGGCCAAGATAATCCTGCAGAGGTTTCAGGTCAGGAAGTGTCCGCATTTCAAGGAGCCGGTCTCAGCATCAGAGTGTCTGCTGTCCATGCTGGAAGAGACCAACCCGCACCACTACTTCGTTGCCACACAGGTAAATAATGAGATGAAAGTAGGAAAATATTTTTGAAAGCCTTTGGGTGCTCCGATAAACCCGATTCCCAAAAAAACATAATGCAGCGATTTGCATTTTCTACCCACAGTTGAACATAGAAAACGTAGAAAATGCTTAAATTGATTCCTTTCACTCTTTTGTGAAAACATACTGGCTTATTTCGAATTTGATGGCAGGAACAAGTCTCAAAAATTGTTACAGGGACATGTTTTGTGTGTGTATCATGCCCTGTTCTTTTGACAACAGCCTGTAAACATCTGGGAACCGAGGAGATAGGCTGCTGAAAACTTGTTTCCATTCTTGTCTGATTTGGGATTATAACTGCTCAGTGGAGCAGATGACAGATACGTTACAAATATCTCCTTGGTCTCATTGTGTCTTCAGGACCACACAGTCACCACGGGGCTGAAGAAAATTCCAGGAGTTCCTCTGCTTTACATCATCCTCAACACCATTGTGCTGGACAAGCCCAGCCAGGCGTCCCTCGACCACGTCCAGGCCGTCCAGCTGGGAGAGCTGGTCAGCCCGGCCCAGCAACAGAGTATCCAGACCCTGAAGGAGGAGCAGGGAATTGGCCAGAAGGACGGAGAAAGGCGTGGGAAGAAGAGGAAGAGGAAACAGTCCAACCCCAACCCGCTGAGCTGCCTGAAGAAAAAGAAGAAAGGAGTCCCGACACCCCCGCTGAAGAAGACAGAGCAGGAGGGGAAGAGGAAGAGAAGCCGACACAAGAAACGAAAAGTGGAGGCAGGAGATGGCACAGCTGCTCCAGCAGCTGCTAATACATAAAACAGCAGGAAGACAGAGACTTCAACCTTCTCTATTCACCTGATTTATAGGTTTACTTTTTGATATGACTGCAGAGGGAAAAAAAAGTTTATTACATAATATTTTAAAAATGCCATTTTGTAGTGGTATTTGTTTTATTTTGAAAAACCTTACAGGTAAGGGAATGAAACTGTTCTCAGACAACATCTTTATGATTTCTTTTATACAAAATCAAAAAAGCAGGTTTCATTACAGGCACATAGTTTAAAATATAAGATGCACTCAGACATTAAACAGTTTACCCTTTTTCTTTTTTATTTTAGATGGAAGGGGATATCAAAAAAATGCATTTAGCTGTCTCTGGACACACTAACTTGTTTCCACGGTTGATATTTCGTGCAGATTAAATTTAAGCTGCAGTATTTTCTCATACCATGATGACTTACAGCAACAAAAGTCCATCCAGTTTCCATCTGATCCTGTCATCCAGCCATTCTAGAGATTAATAATGAAATCTGCTTTTAAATAAAAAAAACCAATTCATTCTCTTTAGCTGCTATACAGCAATACAACAATAAATTAATACTATCAAAAGTGACACAGAGCACAACAACTTAATTGTCTTAATAAACAAGACAGTGCATCACTGTATCCATATACAATAAGGACACTGAGTAAAGTGAATCTGACCTCAAGTTATTTTAAGGATTTGAAAAAAAGTAACATGGCAATGAAAAGACATTTCACACAAATTGGACTTGATTCAAATATTTCAGGATAGCATGCAAGTATAGCAGACCACTTATGTTTTTATCTATAGGCTGAGGTCCCGAAGCTAGGTTTTATTAAGCTGTGTCCCAAATCCACAGCACATAGTAACAAGGTCCAAGACAACGTGATGAAATGTCTCAATTTTTCATATTTTATACTAACAGGCAATGATGGAGAAAACTTAATTCCTTACAAGTTTAGAGAGGAAGCAGCAGGAGTTGTTAAAGGTGTTCCCAGGCCTGTTTTATCAGAATTTTAAATCTGAATCAGGAAAAGTGTGCATAATCACGTGCGCTGAAAAAACAGGTGATTTTTACCCCTCAACCTGAAGGTTGATGGGGTATTGTTATCCCCTGGTCAGGCAGGCGGGCCTCAGACAGCGTGAACATGAGAAAAAGACGATATAAGATTTTCAAATTGATGCCACAGATTTTTTTTAAAAATTTACTGAAAATTAACACAATTTAAATTGTTTAAATAGACCTTTGACAATAAGCAATGAAGTTTAATCACTGTTTTGTCACTTTTACTGTCTTTCCCAATGCCGGTAAGAACACACCTTGAGTAAGAGAGCAGCCATAAATTAACGGTGCATAAATGATGCTCACTTTTAATGTTTCCGTCATGACCCTCCTGACACAAATCCTTCCAGAGGATTTGTGTCAGGAGGCTGGTAGCCATCACTATTTTTAAGTTTGCACAATCCTCAAATCCTGCTTAGAAATTAGTATGTTGTGTGGATTTGGGTCATGCCTATTTTTTTTTTTTTTTTACTGACAGCAACAGCAACAACAACTTAGAGTCTGTAATACTTAAAGTGCTACTCTACAGCTGCATAATGATTAGCTGCTGGTTGAGTCTGTAGAGAACTACTATAATAACTGTTTAAATGTACTCTTGGAAACAGTGCATGCTCCTTCTTCCTAATATGATGGTGAGAGACTTCAGAAGTAAACCTTCACCTGAAGTAGTGAGAAAAATGGAAGTAACATGTTTGACTGACTGTAAACAGATCATTACACTGGACTCCATCACTTTGGTGAGACGCCAGCAAGCAATGAGATGCAGGTGATCCTTTATAGTGATTGGGATATAAAGTGAGTAAATAATAAATATGTTCATTGCTTGAGTTCCAACTACGTTAGTCAGACCCACTTCCACTGAACCACCACTGCTTCACATCTAAATGATGCAAAAATGAAACCATTTCACAAACAAAACAATCTCAGCATACTTAAATAAGACTTGTGTTAAACTAACAGATAGTGCTGCTGACTAAAAGTACTGACCTCCGAGCAGTTTGTTTCTTTAAAAGATTAAAATGAATGGGTTTTTTAGACGATGTGGAAGCGAGGCCCCGGCGTAGCGATGATATCACTGTAAGGCTCCTCCTGGACGAGCTCCACTGCCTGCTGCTTCTTCAAGACCAGAAAGCTGTAGAACTTGGCAGCTGCCTGCTTCCTGTTGTTGTTCCTGCACAGATCCAGCAGGCTGACCGACTGGGCACCGGTTTTAGCCATCACCCTCTGTGATGCAGTGACAAAGAGTGTGAGCAAGAGGAAGCCTGTCATTTTGCATACTTTGATATGGAAATGGGTTTTAAGCTCATGCAAGGTACATCTACTTATACGATGCCAGTCGGTAGTGTTATATTACCTGATGCTGTGGAAATCTGCAAATATATTGAGTATGGAGCTTGCCTCTGGTATAAAAAATGCCATCCACAAGCGAAACTGTCAGGCTATTACCTAAAAGTTTTATATTATAAGATAATAACCCAAAATCTCAACTGAGCTCTGCCTGAGGTCATACTCACAGGCCTGACCTCACACACTCACACTCACTACTCACCACTAGGGGGCATATTACTCAAATCTTTAAATATACTCCAAATACACTTAGTATAAGTATACATGTATTGTCAGCAAAGTTTCCAAAAAGTAAACCTAATCAGCATTTTAGCAGACTTGTAAAACAGCAACAGTGGGCATTAAATATGAATTAAAAATTTGACCCTTTTTATTGTAAGTATTGACTTAAGCATTGATTATCTGTCCCACTTTGTTAGAAGGAAAAAAAAGGTTTGCAAAACCCCAGAGTGTGTTTGTGTGTGTGTGTGTGTGTGTGTATGAGGCTACTCGAGGTTTTTAATAGATGATGGCTTGCAGTCTGGCACAGGCCCTCCAGCAAATTTGTACTTCAGTTCTGTATGAAAAACCTTATTATTGTATTAGTGTGTCTGTATTTATAACCAAACCAATTAACCAGCATCAAATCCTCTCATCCAAATATGGGAAAAAAAACCCTTAAGTTAAAGTTTCACAATGTAGATTTCAAAAATCCAACAGGATAGCATCCTGATTGTGCCTATGGCCACAATCCTAAATTCTCTAAGTCATCTGTAATCTGTAAGTCATCTGTAATCTGTAAGTCATCTGTAAAATGACAGCTGTGGCTGATTTAAACAAAATAAGTCATAAAAACTTGTATTGGTGGTCTTTTGACATAATAATCAAACTGAATCTGTTTTATATGTTATTCACTTTAAGATGTTTCATGTTAACTCCTTGTGAGTTTAGTTGGACTGTGTCATGTTTTACATCTTAATTTTAAATCTAAGCAAAAAACAAACTTGACACCATTAGACTAGAAACAATTCCACTTCAGAAAGGATTCATATGGTTTTCTACTGCACATGAGTATATTTTGAAGAAAAAAAAAATCACATAAGTTTCTTGTTTCTTTATACAACGAGATGTCAGTCTCCCTTCTTAAAGCACGCAGAAACATCCAGGGTGTCTCAGTGTGTGGATCTGAGTTCAGATATTTCTATAAGTTGTACCAACAACTTATCACTCTGCTGTTTTCTTATCTGATAAGATGAGATCACATACATACCTGGAGACCATGAAGCATTTGCTGGGTTCTTTTGTTCCACCTCCTCTCCTCCTGGTCCTGGTCTCCTCCCTGCGCCTCCTCCTCCTGACATAAATACACATAACTCCTTATACCAACTTATAGATAAATAAACTACATAAAAATGAGTTTGCTTATTTACTCTGAATAAATGAAAAAGGTATGCGAAAACTGAAGAAGCAAGGTTTGGGAATCTTTATCTCACCTCTTCATCAGAGTCATCATCATTCTTCTTCTTGTCCTTGTCGGTGAGCAGGTCCAGTTCTATCAGCTGGCTGATGTTGGTGGTGGTTGTTTCCTCCGGGGGTACCTCCACAGTGGATGCCTCGAGCTGTTGGGGTGCATTAGATGGTCTCGACCCCTGCTGTTGCTGTTGCTGCTGCTGCTGTTGGTCCAAGGCCCCCATCTGGATTGAGGAGGGGTCAGAGGACACATCAGAGAGACAGAGAAAGCGCAATGTGACAAACTCTGAAAAACGTGTACTCACAGGGAGGGCTGGCTCTGTGTCCTGGGCCTTGCGTTTCAGGCCTCGTTGGGAGGATGGAGGTGGCATGACCGACTCATCCAGGGTTGTCCTGCTCCCCTCTACAGCTGAAGTCTGCAGCACGCTGGCCTCTTCCATGATGGTCTGGTCTGGAAGAAAAATCAAGAACATATTTTGTGCTACCTCGAATGAACACTGGTGGGAAAACCATGGACAGCAACTTATAGACAATGTAAATTTAAGACCAAGGCACATGAAGAAATGGAAAAATGTAATGACTTACAATTTCAACTTTGCTGAAGTTTTCACAAATGTAATCATCCTTAATAATCACAAAAAAATATTTTCATAGACTGTATGTAAAAGATTAATGTAGCAAAGTCCAAATATAAGATGTAATGAATGATGGGGCAGATCTTACTGTGGAACATGTTTCAGTTTAGCTTATTTCTATAGAGCTCTTATCTTTGTTCTAGATGTCTTGTTCATGCATTTGTATACATTTTGTTATTAAACGCTTGCATTTCATGTTAAATGTCTTTACCGCCTGTCTTATTTTACATTTGTTTTCTTAAAACACTTTGCAATGTATGTCTGTGAAAAATAATATTTAAATAAAACTGCAAATAGAGACCATAATTTACTAAATTAATTTCAGTTTGAGGCACTTTATGTTTACTTCATTTTTCAGACTTTTGAAGCTATTCTATCTTTTATATGGAGTCTGTTTCTTACCCATGATGTCTCTCTGTTGGTGGCCTGTTGTTTCCTCTCTTGGCACTTCGGGGTTCTCCAGATCTTTGAGAAACTCATCCAGACTGTCGGCTTCTCCACCTTTCCTCCTCTTCCTCAGTTCGTCTGGGACTAATGGTGTCAGGCATCTTGTAAACATCTAGTGAGGGTAAACATAGAGTCAGTGTTTGTAATGTGTGTGGCCGTGACCACTACAACACTGTGCACAAATGTCCCTGAATGACATCCGTTACCTTGAGCAGTCTGGAGTTCCATAGAGGTTGAGCTGGAAGGGAGAAAAGCTTCTCGACTCCTCCCGTCTCCTTCCACATCATCAGTTTCTTTGTGGGCGGAGCCAGATCCAGGGTTGTGACAATGTCGGAGTAATCAGAAAGCTGTGCACGAATAGTTTTACTATCCAGCTCCTTCACGCTGTCTACAATCAGCTTCCTCTTACGCTTTGCCTTGGTCTCCTTCACTGTAGATCAGGAAGACAAGGGCTCATTTTAGTGATGATATTTACCTCAGGTAGAGCAAGTCACCTGCTAATTGGAAGGTTGGTGGTTTGATCCCTAGCTGCTCCAGTCTGCATGTCAAATATCCTTGTGCAAGATACTAACTAACTGCTCACAGATGCATCCATTGGAGTTATGAATGTGTGTGAATGTGAATGAGGCAAGTTGTGCAAAGTGCTCAGATAGAGAAAGGTGCTATATAAGAACCATAAGTCCATTTACCATTTCATTGTAGAAACAGGAGTTTTATTATCTTGCTGATCTGGTGCATTTCAGAGCATTTGAGTTTTTGTTTTAAAATCAGTTTTAAGTTAGTTTCCAAAATAGATAAGCGTATTTCAGTTTGGTTTTCATTCGTTTGAGTGTTAGCTTTACTCTTATTTATTATTATAATATGAAGGCTATTTGTCAGAAGCAAAATTTAAGATACTGTCCAAAACAACATGAACCATTTGAAATCAAATCACATTTTTAATGTTGCCGACATGTGAGGCACTTTGCACCGTGCCTAACATCACACACGTCATGTCAGATTAGTCTGCTGAGTGTGAATAACTGGAATGTGGTTACGCTTTGCTCCGGTCAACTGGTTAAATGCCGGCTGACTCTGACACGTATAAACGCTCATTTTCTAGATCACAGCACAACAGAATCATGCTCATTAGCACGGCTGTCTTTCTTACGTTCCTGTTACAGAGAGCGAGAGAGCTGCTGAGTAATTAGAAAAAAAACAAAAACAAAATTAGCCGGATTACCTGTGATGTCGATGGGCTCCAGGGCGAAGGTTTCTTCCTCGTTGTGGACCAGAGTAGTTTGCTCTGCCTGATCAGTCATAGCTGGTAGTGGCTCTGTTGGGCCTGAGTCCGGACTATCTGGGGCTCCCGCTAACACCACACACATACACATCATATTAGATCTGCATTTCATGATAATGACACAACTACACTGTAATTTTTACTCTCCGTAACGTACCACACTCTAGCTAAAGACTAAAAAATGTTATATTTTAGCCCTGAAGAGTTTGTGAAACTGACCTGAGAGAGCATCAAAGTCATCGTCATCGTCTCCATGGTCCTGAGGCATCATCACACTCTCTGTGATGGCAGGAGGGTCGTCAAAGATGCCGCCTCCATCCTCGTTACTCAGCAGCTTGTCCACTACACAGAAATACAAGAAAAGAAAAAGTACACTTTTTCATCCACTAGCCAGACGAAAACAGCGTCATCTACAGATGTCATTGAGTAAATAAAAGAATCTGTTTTTAAATTTAGTGTTAGCTCTTACCCAGCATTCCTCCCTCATTGCTCTCCATGGGGTTGTCTCCAAAGTCATCCTTGTACTGGTCATCATATTCCAAATGGTTGGACTTATCGGCCATCTGGTTAGCACCACCCTCAGCCTCCAGTAGCAAGTTCGAAGCTGATGCTCCCATAATGTCTACCTCAAACGCGCTCTCCTCTCGCATCATTTCCCGGTCATCCATCCCAAAGTCGGCTGCATGAAAAAACAGTGAGGAAGACAAGGAATCAGCCTTGAAACAAAGTGTCACTAAAGTACTGAAATGTGGTTTTACATGGGTGTTTGGATGTTGGTGTTTAATTGATCAAATCCTACATAAAGATAAAAAAAAAACAAAGTACCGAAATCATTGTCCTGCAGCAGGTTGAGGTTGCCCACCTCCTCTCTCATGGTGATCTCCTCCACTCTGCTCTGGTTCAAGTTGAACTGCTGAGCCACATCAATGTCACTGTGCAAAACACAACACACTGTCATTTAAATGCTGTTGTTAATATATTTTGGGACTCTGAGGAGGTGGCTAAGCATGTGGGCCGTGTACAATACAGACAACAAGTTTATGCTACCTTACGCGACACCATTTTTATTTAATGGCTGTGATCTGCACAGCTTATTTTGTAAAACAACTTTGTTCTTTGTAGTCTTATTCTGCATTGTGCTCTCTCAGGAAGACTGTAGGACTCACTCTAAGTCTGGCAGTGGCTGGTCAAAATCATGAAACTCCTCGGGCAGAGTGATAGCATTGTACGCTGCTTCTCTGTTCTCCTCTGGAAGATCCACCACACCTGAAACAACACGAGGTAGAAAAGCAGCTTTAGTGTATGTGACACATGCGTAGTTGGCATGTGCATCTAGAGTAACAGAGACAAAACAGAGTCAGGGTGAATAAGATGCTAAACAACTGAAACGTTTATACATATGAGGTAACAAAACAACAGCAAACGATTTAAATAAGTTTGAACTAGCATTACATACATAAAGGTAGAAAATAAAGAAATGATTACTCATCTCTATTTCTTCATGTAAAAGTAAAAAATCTCTACTGCTGCAAATACTGTAGTGTATAATCACTGTATAATCTCTCCAGTGAGTTCTAAGTCTACCCCAGGGTCCCCTTCCAGTTGTGCACACCTGAATATGTCCAGAGGCTCTTTCAGGGCCCTAACTGCTGCTGTATGAGTATGTATTTAATATGGTTATAGGAAAGCCTAGTTTTGATTTGTCTGCTGTTCCCAACCTGGTCTAAATGCCATCTTGATCTTGATGAAGGCCTCGTTACAGTCTGCCAGAAGGTATTTGGCCTTCCTGTGGTAGATTCGCACCACCCCCAGCAGCAGATGCCCTGAAGTCCGTAAAGCCATTTTTACCTGTAAAAAAACAAAGACATACATTTAGTAATACAGTAACTTCTGTCTTCTACATAAACTGTGTCACTTCTTCCACATGTGGGAAACAAAAAAGCAGTCTGTCTCACAACCGATGAGTTCTGCTACATAAATGAAATGAACAATTCTGTACTTTAAAGAAATCCTGAGAGAAAATTAAACCAGACTAATATATAAAAAAAACAAAAAAAAAAAATGTAATTACAGGATGACTGCATGAAGGTAGACACTGAAACCTAATATGAAACAGCCACATTTTACAGCAGGGATTGACCAATGTGGCTTTTTCAGGGCTAATACCAACTATTAGCAATCAAGGAGACCGACAACCAATTTATGGAACTAATAAAGAGTGTTACAGGTTCTATTTACATGCAGTAATGGGGTAATCACTTTATCACATGGGAGCGGTTAGAAAAAAAAACACAAAAACTGTGTGCCAGGAGCTTCATGGCATGGGTTTCTATGGCAGAGCAGCTACTGTAAGGTTAATTGATAGGTGCCCCAGTGCCAAATAGTAATATCAAATACTATATATAGAAATTAATTGCATGTCACGGCAACAAAGTTTATTATTCAGGATTTTTAGAGTAATAAGGAAACTTGTCACTGAGGAAAAAGCACAACTTCAGCAATTTCTGCTGCCTGAACTCTGTTTCTTTAATTCACTGTAGCTGCTTCAGACCGACAGATTTTAGTGGAAACTGTGTTAAAAAATGGAAAATCCATAGTGTACAGTAATTAAAGTCTGTTGGAGTTAGCTGTGGAAGCCTGAGAAATAACCTTGGGTGAGATGATGCTCTCCACGCTGCTCTCCAAATTGCACTCAAAAACATGTGCCTTGGTCAGCTTCTTGTCCCAGTGGGCCGCCAGCCAGATTTTAGCCAGCGGCCCACGTTTGCTGAGGACAAAGTGTGCGTAAAACATCGTCTCGATGCCTTCTCACCACAAGGGAAAGGGGAAGTGGGGGATGCGTCAGGCCTAGAGAGAAAGAAAAAAAACAAAGAGAGAAACAGTACAGTGCACATGACTGAAATCACCACTATGAAGGGGTAAACTATGTGGGGATGTTGAAAAGAAAAAAACTGATTGGGTTATCTTGATAAGCATATAGCAAGGTGCAAACTGATTAACTGAGAGTTTTTGAAACCACTGCCTGTGATTGGAGCAGTCCCAGTGTCACACAGAGTGCAGATACAGACTGCAGATGCATATCATCTAACCTGCATGCATAAAATCCAGAGAAGGCAGAGAATGAGCTGCTCATTTTATCGCTCTCATTTACATCCATCAGCCAGACAGTTTTTCTTCTGTTAGTTAAGTTTTGCTAATATTAGTTTAGGGGAAAAAGCCTGAACCCGATACCCTGCTGCCACCTGACTGCATAGATCAGAGACTATCTCATAAAGAAAAACACCGTGCTTTCGACTTTGTGACAGTGTGTCTAATGTAGTGGTATACAACACTGGGGCTCCACAATGTAGAGTACTTTCCCTGTTCCTTTTAATCCTTTACAAACTGGACTTCAGATACAACATGGACAGTTGTTGTTGTTGGGTATATATCAGAAGGGGACAACTTGGAATACAGGGAGGTTATTACCAATTTCACTGAATGGTGTGCAAAAAGCTGTTTTTGAATAAACTCCAGCAAGACAATGGTGACTGACTTCCTCTGCAAGGTGACACAGTTTACACCAGTAAACATTCAAGGCCTGGAGATTAAGACTGTGTCAGCCTACAAATACTTGCATGTTAATCTTAAAAGCAAAGTGGATTGGTCTCATAATATAGATGTATTGTATAAGAAAGGCTAAAATCGTCTGAGGCCCTTTGTTGTGTTCAGGATGCCGTTAAGGACCTTCTGGGACACTGTGGTAGCTCTTTAATCTTCTATGCTGTGGTCTGCTGGGGATGGAGGAACTCAGAGAAAAACTACTAAAAAAAAACTTGTGAGGAGCCCTGGCTTTGTTGAGGGCTGCTCCTTGGACTCCACTAAGGAGCTGGGTGAGAGAGTAAACTTTCAACATAAGACTTTACAGTACAGTCAAATTAAAGAAATGCACTGATCTGTGCAATATTTTAATATTGTATAATAATATAAACAATAATATTCATACTTAAACACTGGTTTCTCCTAAATATTTTACTTATGTGTGTGTATATTTTAAGTAATAGGTAATACTTGGACACAAACAACAGCAGAACCTTATTTTACATGTTTAAAATTTGATAAGATATTTATCAAATCATTTCCATGAATTTAGTGAATTATTTTAGCAAAATCCCTCATTTGTGTCAACTCAAGTAGCAAAAATGTTTGTCACTGCAGAGAGAAAACTGTAAACTTTTATTTAATGTCTTTTATATTAATTACTAATTTGTAATAATAAACAAACAAACAAAACAGTGATAGCCACTTGAGCAATTAGGACTCTATAATTATTAAGGATCTGTAATATAAAAGATGTCAATTTCATTTTACATAGTAGGCCAAAATTGGGACACATTATAGGCTAACAGCTCATTTACAACAGTTTAAATACAAGAAAATATTTTTGAACAAATATCAGAAATCACTTTGTCACTTTATGTGTCATCGCAGATAATTTTACAGTAAACGCAACATTTTAACAAAGGAGCAGTAGTGTTATTTATCCTAATTGGCCCCTTTTATTTATGGCTAATTATATAGCCTGTTAGGTGTATACCCGCACTTTACCGTGGATACTGTAGAAATGACCTGCAGCTACACCGTTAGCCAGGACAGTCATGATACTGAAGGATGTAATGATTTAATAATAGAAACAACGTGCAGCACATGCAGGATGACTCCAATCAAAGTGCTGGCCCAAATGCAGATGTTACACTGTTATTACCGGGAAACACAGCGACCCTGTAACCGCAGACAGAAGAAGACCGGGCAGGTTTTATTTGACCGTTTTAAATGAGATGTCCGTTACATCGTTGACGCTCCCTGCATCCCAACAGGTGATGCTGCAGATAAGCTAGTATTAGCAGCTGTCTTTCAAAAGCACCGCGACGCTAGCCCCGTTTTCTTTCTTTCATTTATTTATTTATTTAATTATCCACACAAATCTAATCTTCTGTTTACGGTAGACATAAAATACTCACCGGTTAGCCGTCTGGCGCGTTTCTGTTTTTGCCGGCCGTGCCGTCGCTGCCGTTGGTTGGGGGTTATTTTTTCCCCGGTACCCCTCCGCCTCCTCTTCCACTAAAACAAACAAGATGGCGTCCCGTCCCCGTCGGAGAGGCAGGACGCTCTGAGAGCTCAGCAGGATGCAGACGGTGGTGCTGATGAGGGCAAAGAGAGGGAGGGAGGGAGATGCTCCGTTACCTATGTGCCGCATTCAGATCCTTTAGATCCTATATGATGTTTATAAAACATCATCAAACTTGTAATGATTCTTTTTCGTCAATAACAACACAAGAACATTAAACTTTTTCTGTCTTTACTAAGACATTTCCATCATTAATAAGAAGCTCACTCTCCATATTTACTTTTAAGGAAATAATATTGGGTTTTGTGTTTAATCATTTTTGTTTTCTCTGTTCTTTTTAAAATAACAAGTGAAAAAAAAAAGTTTATTTGGTTTTCATATATACATATCTGTAACTGTAACATACTTGAAAAGCATCCCATGTGAACATTTTATTATCATTTTAAATTGGTCTATGTAGCATTATTATCAATTATTATCATCATTATTATCAACCATCGGTGCAATTTATTGATCTTGAAGGCGAGGTTAAAGGTCAAATATGACATTGTATGTTAAATCTTCATAAGCTATGCTCTATATGTTAATAATTATGCACATCACACTTGTAAGAATAATATTTTCTCATTAATAAGATGTTTTGTCAATTTTTGACCAATAAATCGTTAAGTTGGCCTTGAAGTCCTCAGTGAATTTTACCTGCCTAATTTGAACTAATTGTTAACATGATCCCACTAATAAAACCCTACAATGTTTTATTAGAATTCATTCAAAACTTTCTGAGCTATCATGTTTACAGACAGAATGACACACACATGATCCACACTGACAACATGTTGAAAAAGAGTCTGACTTCTTTCTTTCACTGTGTTTTAACCTCCTAAGACCTGAACTCCTTCACGGCATGCATTTTTAATTTCTCTTTGATATTTGGGCATATTGGGGCCAGATGAATGTAAAAACAAAGAATTAGCAGATTTTTTTTTTTTTACCTTATTTTTGTTTTGAAGAAAAATAAGAGCTACATATGAGGATATTTGTTTAAAATTTTGATAGAACAGTAGCAGTATAATGTCCTCGTAAGTGGATATCAGGCCCATGTAGAGCAAAATTGAGTATTTTGGTCTAAATAAACACTAAATGTGATGTCCACATATGTGGACGCCAGGTCCTAGGAGGTTAAAGCACTTTGTTACATTAAGAGCTGTTTTGGTCCACACTCATACAGCAGTCCCGTTAGGGCTGCAGTAATTTTGCTCTTGTGACACTTGGACAGCTCAGCTGACAGCAGATGTGAGCTCTGCACTCCCTCGGGCTGCAGCATGCTCGATCACACATATCAGGGAAAGGGAAAATGAGTTAGTCACATGTTGTCTCAGGTCAGGCACATGAATCAGAGTTAGTTTAAGATCAGTTTACAAATACAGGGATTTAGCTTCTGTGTGTGTCCTTTTTTCTTTCAAGTTTCTCATGTGACTTTCTGCAAATAGCTGAAGGTACCAGCAGGAGGCAGTAGGTGAAAGGCAGATTTTTACTTGTAAATGAAGCAGAAAAGATCACCTAACTTTTCAGAATACAGCTAATGAAGTAATAATAAAGCAGTGTGTTTGCTTTAATAATTTCAGTAATAATAATGCCATATCTTTAAAAAGAAACGGTCCAAATCCAACTCCTTTGAGCTGTCTGAAAAATTCAGATTTTAATTTTATGGAAAATTGTCTAGATATCTTAGTGTTTAAATGACACTTAAATCATACTTATTTTCCATCTGTGAAATCACAGTTAAACAGTCTGCAGAGGAGGACTGCAGAGAGGAAGTTTTTCAACTCATTACAACGATTTATTTATTTTTGATGGATATCCTTAAAATTTAATGTTCTGCCTAGTCAAGTGGAAATAAAGACGTTTTCGTGTTTTGAATCCATGGTGGGGGAATTTGTGCTTCA